TTCTGGAAGGAGTGGGTGGCCCTGAAAAGGGCCGGGTTTCACGTCTCGGCTTACGATCTAAGCACGCTCGCCACGGATACGGCGGGCCAGCTGGATGTCCTTGGGCATGATGGTGACACGCTTGGCGTGGATGGCGCACAGGTTGGTGTCCTCGAAGAGACCGACCAGGTAGGCCTCGCTAGCCTCCTGCAGAGCCATGACAGCAGAGCTCTGGAAGCGAAGGTCGGTCTTGAAGTCCTGGGCGATTTCCCTGACCAGGCGCTGGAAGGGCAGCTTGCGGATGAGCAGCTCAGTGGACTTCTGGTAACGACGGATCTCCCTGAGAGCCACGGTGCCGGGCCTGTAACGGTGAGGCTTCTTGACACCTCCGGTGGCCGGGGCGCTCTTGCGAGCGGCCTTGGTGGCCAGCTGCTTCCTGGGGGCCTTGCCTCCAGTGGACTTACGGGCGGTCTGCTTGGTACGTGCCATCTTTTCCTTCTTCCTGTGATGAAGTCGATGAATGAACTTAAGTGTAACTGTTGGAATTTATACATACGCGGGCTTAGCTACAATTGGTCAGTTTTGAAATTTACAACAACGTCATTGGTCCTTTTATCTTATCCCCTATTGGATAAAGTACTTTTACCTGATTGGACCGAAGGGTGAACATCAGAATCCGACTTTTGCAGCAAGGTCGCGGACTAAAAAATTCTACTATCATGATTGGACAGCTAATGGCTGGGCTAGCCCAAACAATCAGAGGGTCTACAATATGGATATAAACTGATATCAAATGTGTTCTAACAAATAAATAATGTTTGTAATTTAAATATAGTTCCTAAAACTGTATCTAATCAAAATTTATCATATGTTTTTGACTGTTTAGGCATTTTTGGTCATTTCTAATGGTTAAGTGCAACCCCCTTTTCTTGAATGTTACTGTCTTCGCTACTGTAATTGGTCAAATTATGTGCCACGCCATTGGTCCTTTCAACTATCGTGGACGTTGATTGGGCTTGCACATGGAATCATTTTCCGCCGAGGTCCGTACTTATAGAATATAGAGATACTTGCAACCTACTAACGACATACTGACACATCGTCTGAATCCTAACAGGAATCATGTCTGGACGCGGCAAAGGAGGCAAGGGTCTCGGAAAGGGAGGCGCCAAGCGTCACCGTAAGGTGTTGCGTGATAACATCCAGGGCATCACCAAGCCCGCGATCCGTCGTCTGGCCCGCCGTGGTGGTGTCAAGCGTATCTCCGGTCTCATCTACGAGGAGACCCGTGGCGTCCTCAAGGTCTTCCTGGAGAACGTCATCCGTGATGCCGTCACCTACACCGAGCACGCCAAGCGCAAGACCGTCACCGCCATGGACGTTGTCTACGCTCTGAAGCGCCAGGGCCGCACTCTCTACGGCTTCGGCGGCTAGAGTGTTAACTTGCAACCAAGCACTAAATACCCGGCCCTTTTCAGGGCCACCACATATTCCAGAAAGAACCTATTGGTCACTTGCTATAATTTACGATATCCATATACCGTGATGTATTGTGCTATCTGCCTTGCTACTTAAGTAATTTGGAAGGTCTGCAATTGTTTTCCTATCGATCATATTAAACAGTGAAATTTAAGGCTTGGACGTGATTTGAAGACAACCACCAGTATGTCCGAGATAAGCTTGGGTGTCGTCCATAGTGTATACTCGTTATAACCAGGCCCGGGAAACGGATAACACGCACCTTGGCCAAACAGATACTAGTACCATGCCAGTTTGTAAGCTAGGCTGAGGAGGAGGAATGGAACCTTCTCTCCGTGGCTATGTACCATGGCCACTCTTCAAAACGCTGTATCAAAATCCCAACCCGCCTCGGAGCCTTCATACTAATCATAGGAGCCCTGGAGGCTACTGAAAGCTTCGGACGGGTACAGGCGTTTGTCCAGTTTGGACTGCTCCTTTTTACGTCTCGTCTTAGCCAACCGGTTTAAATCTGGCATGTTGTCTATTTGTACTCTCCAAGCAGAGGTTTGGGTTTTGGGGGTATTTTTAGCGTGTTATTAGGCTTTTTTTATCGGGGTTTCTCTTTTGCACTGATTTTTTTCCCCACCAGGGTTTGGTGGGAAAAAAATCAATGGTGGTTTCTTGATTTCAAACTTTGCCACATGCGTCTAAGATTTCATGATGTAGTGGTATCGCCCAGTTTAACGTCCCACTTCAGAAAGGTCAGAGGTCGCAACCCAACATGGCGCTGCCCATACTGAATGTCCGGTTGTTGCTGTGTCGTTTGGCAAACACGGGTCCCAAAGGCTCATCATTATTACCTATCCGGTAAGGCAGTCAACATTCATTGTGATACTGTATAGTTTGTAATCTACAGTGTGAGAATAAACTAAGACTTAGCTTCTTTACTTGTTATTGCGCAACGAAGCCAAGCATGGCATAGGGGTCAAGAGCTTGACTTGTTATGCTTTTTACTTTAAAATGTGCTTTTCACATAAATTCATACCATTCTACCTCTTCTTCTCCCTACTACAAGATACAACTTTTCACATCATTTGCTGATAAAGGTTGTAGCATTTTACATGTAGACATTTCATGACAGGTATAGGAAAAAAGTTCTCTTTGTTTAACTTTGTGAATTTTTTAACTACAGTACTGTGGACTTCAAGTACAACTTTTATCCCTTTTCAGGCAAAGTCGGTGTATACGACCAAGCAACTGTTTTAGCACATCGCCATATTCCTGTAGCCAGAGCAGACTAAGCAGCAGGGAGAGGACAGAGGCTTTTGCATGGCTGGGGGACATCGTCCCTGTGTTTGGAACCACAGGGGATAGAGTCTCCGTCCTGCATGATCCCACAGTATTCTTCAATGTTCTCAAGGTCAGCTGTTTTCCTACTCATAACAAGACATTTATTATATATACTATTACTAAATATTTGATGGAATTCAACTGTCATATGAATGATTAGTACTAGTATGGATGTATTTGCATGATTTGTTCTGTGCCATTTGTTTGCAGGGTAGAATATGGATAGCAGAGAAGAGAATAGTGCTGTCCTCTTTATACCTGGGCAATGGACCCCTCGAGCAGGAGCTGGTAAGCAGAACCTTTGTGGCAGTTTCTGTTTAACAGTTAACAATGACTGTAAGATATCTATTCCTGTTTGTTATCCAGGTTATTTCTCGTTTTGTATTAGTTACAATCGTCAATGCCATTCACCTGCTGTTTACAAGACTTGAGTGACTTTGAACTGTATCCCTCCTTGTTGAATCCCATGGTCAGGTAGCAGCCCTTCAGCTGCAGCTACAGAGAGCGAGTGACCTTCAGGTGACTGTGCTTCTAGACTACACCCGTGGCTCCCGTGGCAGGGACAACTCACGTACTCTGCTGCTGCCTCTCCTACAAAACTTCCCAGACAGAGTACAGGTGAGTCTCTTATGTACTACATTTGTACATCTATAAGAAAATAAATGTGTTCACTTATTGTAGTAAATTGTCAGTTAGTATTAGTATTTATAGTTATCATAGGTAGTATTGCTTTAGACCTTGGTTTCTTTTGGAGAGATTTTTAACTTGTTACATCATGTAAGAAACTTAGTTGAATCTATGGCAATAGATGATTAAAGTAGTTTACAAAGATGTTGATAGATATTTCCTATCAACACAGGTGAGCCTGTATCACACCCCAGATCTGCGAGGTCTGCTGAAGGCTGTCGTACCAGAGCGGTTCAATGAGACTATCGGTCTCCAACACATGAAAATCTACCTCACTGACAACTCCGTCATCATGAGTGGGTAAGATCAGGTCCATATATTTGGTTGTAATATAATGGATGTATTAAGCATGTTTAGGATACCAGAAGCTTGTGAAACACTCCTAACTTCTGACATGTTCAAGGCATCTCCTTTTAGACACTTTGCATAAGATTAAGAGGAAGAAGTTGTATCTTTCTACTTGCAAGATTTTTCCTGGATTCTTATAGCATTCTTAAAGATCCCTACAGCCTAACTCCATAATCAATATGAATACCTCAGTCATCTGAAAGTTGAATAGTGTGTTTTTATACATTTTACTATACATGTAATGTTAGATATTATATGTATACAACACTTTTTCTTCAGTGCCAACTTGAGTGAGATGTACTTCACCAATCGGCAGGATCGTTATGTAGTGTTTCACAACATTCCCCTGCTGGCAAACATGCTGGCAAACTTGGTGTCCTGTGTTGCCTCCTTCTCCTTCCAACTGTGTCGAGACAACTCCGTCAGCCTGCACCCCAGCTTCAATATCCAACCCTTATAAAGGTATGGGCTACTATATCACACACTTAATCTACCTATTTAACTGGTTACTTTATCTGTACTGTAACAGTGTAGATGAAGTAACCATTAAATAAGTGTATGTAAATAATGGCAATTGTCTACGTACCTCATTACATTGAAGAGTATTGTGTTCACGAGTAGCTACTATATGTTCTTCCTGCTGTACAAATGTAATGACTACTTTCATGTAATGCAATCTACCCGGTAAATGATGTAGTGCTTGAAATCTCTGGAACTATCAAATGTGAATCTGTTACTTGTTTGAAGAATGCATATTTCTCTCTCATCTAACTTATATGAAAACCACATCACATGACACAAATAGCAATGCCTTATGGTCACAGTTGATATCTCTTCCATCTCTTCACAGATGACATCGAAAAGTTCAAAAGTGAGGCCCGCCGAAGAGTGATGGACCTTTTGAAGCCAGGCTACTTTACCAAACTGGCAGATCCCTTCTTCACAGATGCACCCTTCCGTCACAGGAGGAAGGTGATTGGTTGGACCAGAGAGCTCAGAGAAAGGACTATCCAAATCCAAGATGGAGATGAACATACAAGTCATCATGAGGTGGAGGGAGACGAGGAAAGTGATGAAGAAACACAACAGCTCATACAACAGGGAGCCAGGGTCATGGTCGACACTCAGACTCAGGAGAAAACAATAGTGCATCCTGAGAGTTCAAACCTCACGCAGCTGAAACGGACTATTTATGTGGACACGTGGATCTGCCCGCTGGTGCAGATGGGTCCTCTGGGAGTGTGGCACGATGAAATGGTCACACGGAGACTGCTGCGGACAGCTGCTAAGGAGTCAGAACTGCTGCTAGCATCAGGCTACTTCAACCTGACAGAGGACTACATGAACGTCATGCTGCAGGCTGATGCTGACTTCAATATCCTCATGGCCTCTCCTCAGGTGAGCCCTCTATCCTGCTTATATTTACATGTACATGTTTCATTATGGTTGCCTTTTGTATACTCAAGGCCACTACATAACAAGGCCAGAAGACAACTCCAGGTTACACAAATGTTTCTGTCTGTAAGTCAGAAACATGGTTAGTGATAATTTTACCCCGTAGTAGAGCAATATGCACAATGACATACACATATATCTTCTGTATAGGTGCCTCTCAAACTCTGTTCCCTCCCCTGGACAGGTGAATGGTTTCTATGGTGCCAAGGGCATTGCAGGCAGCATCCCCACAGGATATACCTACATCGCTCGGGAGTTCCATCGCCGGGTGTGGCGGCAGGCACAGCAGGGCAGGATCCAGCTGCAGGAGTACATCCGCCCCAACTGGACATTCCACGGGAAAGGTGGGGTCACACCATGTAGTTGTAGTAATGTGATTGTTACTCTTCAAACTGTGTGTTCTGTGGCGTGAGATATTTGGATGGAAGAAAATCTTGTGCATTGGAAACGTTATATACATGTAATTGTTTTGAAGTCTTGAATCATGAAGAAGCCCAGGTTGCAACAACAAAATTTATCACACATAATACATTTTATACCCATAACACAGAAAGATTCTTTAAGATGAGAAATACAAATTTGGCCATACTCAAAATGGCTGTTATGTTTTTGAATTTATGGACAGATTGATCATCTGTGATGTCTGTAAATTGTAATGCAGCACTGTTTGAAGGTCCTACATGTTGTTTTCAGGCCTGTGGTTCTACCACCCTGGGGAGGACCTGCCCACCCTCACACTCATCGGGTCTCCAAACTTTGGTGAGTCGTTTTTGACTACCCTGATAATCAATTAGTGTTTTTTTACTCCGTTCTTGCTTTTCTGCGTCGGACCTGGTTCAGCCAAACTGGTACCCAGCCCTAGTGGTACTGTTGGCTATATGGTTGCGTGTATGTTACTAGTACTGTGTTGTAGTATTCTTAACTTGTAAATGAACCTTGTTGCTTAGATATTTGTGTTGATGAGGCATCCCTATAAAAGTGAAATTTCTTCAGTGATGAATTAGCGTGCTTTCAGTGCGGACAGTGAACATACAGTTCCTTGCTTTCCTTGTTTCATTTGGAAATACATTGTATTCAGAAATTGTCTTTGGCTTCAATTGTTTCAGGATGTAAAAATATTCATCTATTGTCCCAGGTTACCGTTCTGTTCACCGGGATCTAGAAGCTCAGCTGGCCATAGTTACGGACAACTGGACTCTCCGCCAGCAGCTACATCAGGTGGGTTCTAAAACATCTGTTGTTACTGCTGTTGTCTGTATCAGCCCAGTAACATAATCAATCGGCTTGGTGGGAACATTGATTGAGGTAGATGTACAAAATGTAGTTGTAGTCCATTGTTTTTAAATCTCCTTGATAGCCCATTGGGTTCCTCTGTTACAGTAGGGTGTATAGAGTATAACCTATTGAACTCATTAGAATTGTCTGTCCTGATTGTTTCTGGTAGCATGTTGTGGTCAGCTCCATGGTATTTTGAATGAATAAGGAAATCTGAAGGTCATTGTTTGCATGTGGATGTGCCTGTCTTCCCTCCCATTCATTCTTACTTAACACACACATGCCAATATTGAGAAACCCTGGGTTGGTCATGTCTTAAATATTGGTGTGCTTCCCACTGTACCTCAGGAACAACGACATCTGTACCAAGGGTCAGAGGTGGTTACCAAGGAAACCTTCCAACGTCCAGATCGCCAAGTTCCTACCTGGGCCAAAGCTCTGACTAGAGTCATCAAAAACTTCTTCTGAAGCACAGACATGGAGAGCTGCCCATATCAACCTATCATACTGCTAGTGCCAGAACAGTATTCTAATTCTAGGAGAAAAGTGGCATTCATGATGCAAGTACATGTACATACAAATAATACAGTTCTCAATTAAAATCCACTGCATTGTCACCTTGATTTAAGAGTTATAGTTGGTTGTCAAAGGTTCTAAAAGGTAACACTAATGGTATACAATGTACTTTACTTAATATTTGCAGGAAGATTGTGGTTGTTGCAAGTCCCATACTGGTCTCTCTCTACAGTTGGGAAAACACTGAACAAAGGTGATAGCCATGAACAGCATTCCTATACTCATCGATGCAAAGACCTCTCCACTTGACCAAACATGATCATTTAAAAACAAGATCTTTATTGAAAATCCTCGGGTGTGTTGTGAAAGTACACATCATTTTATAGAAAAAAAAACATGATGCGGAACGGCCTTGGACTGGCATCACTTACCATAACTGGTATAGCCAAGAAAAAAATAGCCTGTTGTTGAGCCAAAACTTGCTTGATCTACCAGACCATGTGGCCTTTGCGTACTACCCTGCCCACCCTATGCCTAGGCAGTTTCATCCATGTCCTCCTATGGAGGTGATAATGTTGAAAAGCCCTCGCCCATGACCTGCATAAAGGGCGTTTACTTAAGAAGCTAGCCCCAACTTTCCATCATTCGTCGGCACGACACAATACACCAGACTACCAAGGCAAATGTCAACAGCAAGTACTGTTTGAAACCGTGATTGTTATAGCTCTCTTTTGAGGAAGTGGGTGGCCCTGAAAAGGGCCGGGATCAGTTCTCGAAGGAATGATCTAGCTGGACTTGGCGGCAGTCTTCTTGGGCAGGAGCACGGCGTGGATGTTGGGCAGCACACCTCCCTGGGCGATGGTCACGCCGGACAGAAGCTTGTTCAACTCCTCGTCGTTACGGACGGCCAGCTGAAGGTGACGGGGGATGATCCTGGTCTTCTTGTTGTCACGGGCAGCGTTGCCGGCCAACTCGAGGATCTCAGCGGTCAGGTACTCCAGCACGGCGGCCAGGTAGACCGGGGCGCCGGCACCGACACGCTCGGCGTAGTTGCCCTTGCGCAGGAAACGGTGCACACGGCCGACAGGGAACTGAAGCCCTGCACGGGATGATCGGCTCTTAGCCTTTGCACGGGCCTTGCCTCCCTTACCACGTCCAGACATAGTGATCAAATGTGTCTCAGTACGAATACACGCAACAGAAATCTGTGATGGCGAATGACTAAAACGGTCGCAGAGAAATATTTATACCCATCAGACGGATTCAGTAAATGAAATTTTCGACCAATTACCGTTGTAAGATTTCTAGACCAATCAAATCTAAGGATTTGGAGTCAACAACCAATCAATGCAAAGATATCTGCTTCCGATCACGTCCGCAATACCAACTCCAGGATCCCGAAATTTGCATATGGTAAAGAATCGTCTCAACAGCTATTTCAGGGCTGCGTTCCTGGTTCAGCTTCAATATGGCGGCTTAGTATGACGTTATTGTGTGACGTCTGTGGCAACATTAAATTAACACACTTTACACCATATTTTAGGTAAATTGGGTAGCGTGAGGAATCGTGGCGGCAAAAAACTGCACAGATATTGTATTTTTAAAAACGTCATACATTCTATTCACTCTGTATTACATAGCTTCAGCAAGATAAATCATACCACCTTCAAGTTGTTCGTGCTCGTCAGGTTACTATGCAGCAGTTAGCTTTTCTGAAAATAGCAACTCCGAGGACCCCAGCAGAGGTTGGTTGATCATTGCGAAAGGTCCGTTCTGATCTACATTGATTATCTGCTATCCTGTCACCGTCCTCTAGGTGGCGCTTTTTACCTATTGATTTCATCATCATCATCATCATGGCGACGGTGGAAGACGTGTTGGAAAGCGTGACTCAAAAACAGGCTTCTAAATACAAAACCATAGAAGTACAGAAAGATATTGAACCACAGTTGGACTTGGGAAACCTTCTGACAGTTGACCAAAATCCGCTGGAACTGAAGAAGTTCAGGTAAGACTGCGAAAAGGTTACAATTATGTTTAAAGGGGGAGGGGGGCAAGCGTGGTCATGCGACTGGCTGGTAAATCCTTCAGATATCCTTCAGGTTGATCACATAATACGTGCGTGTGTCTCTTCTCTACACAAAACGTCACGGCTATACGATTCTCAGAGTTACACCTCTCAGTTTAGACGTACATGCATAGGGACAAGGCTTATACTAGAGAGAGTGAAGCAAATGTGGCATACCATATCAGTAAAAGAATAATTTTTTTAAAAACTTTAATCTCAGCATGTAATCTCACCAACATGAGCAACTGGTTTCGAAACCACGTGTAGTTGGTTCTATAACAGGTGCAAACACAACAATAGTAATGTAACAGTGCTAACTGACCAAGTAAAGGACACTAAATAGAGAGTAGTACAAAAATCCTTACAAGCATTATGAAGTAATTTTACCAAGTACTAACCAACTGTAATTGTGCTAGTGTATATTGAAGTTGTGTAAAGACTGCCCTGTATGTATATCAGAGCTGACAAGGAGGCCTACCTGAAGTCCCAGGCCAGAGACAACACCCAGCTGTTGTTTAATGCCATCTGGAAGCTGCCCACTGAGAGGGTGGAGGAGGCCATCTGTGTCAAGGTACACATGTACTCCACTCTTTGGTAGCGCCAATCTAATGATATGACTTACGAGTCGATGACTGTTATTGATTGTGCATTAGAGTCAGTTTATCAAAGAGATTCGTGAGAAATTTGTCTTGTACATGTATCAATTTCTAAATTGCTAATGGCTACTTTTCAGCTCCCTGAAACCACGACTGTTCTGCCGAGAGAAAAACCTGTAAGTTCTTCTTCCTCTTCTTCTTGGTTACCCTCAAACAACCCTTAAATGGGGTATTACTGAGAGGGGGTGCACACTTATGGCAGGGCAGTTGTCAACACAGGGGTCGTGTGGCGCAACGGCAGCGTGCGCGACTCGGAATCAAGAGGTCCCGGGTTCGAGTCCTGACATGCCACCGATCTTGTGCCCTTGGGAAAGGCACTTTACACGACTTTCCCCACTAGACTCAAGTGAAAATGAGTATCGTCTGTACAGTATTCGTTTCTATGTGCGGGACACAACACCAGCAACACCAGTAACAGCTGCCTTTGTTCCGCGTGTATTGCACTGTTGCAATTTAAAAAAAAAAAAAAAACCCCTCCATTGTACTGTTGTTATGTTTATCAGAATCATATGAGAAGTGTCTATACTAGTATTTAAAGCTTTGCAACATTGTTTCATCAGTGTTTTTCTCTTCCAGATTCCCAAGGCCAAACCTCCGACCAGATGGGAGCAGTATGCCCTGCTGAAGGGTATACAGAAGAGAAAGAAGGGCAGAATGGTTTGGGATGAGGAGTCAAAGGTGAGAGAACCATCGTGATGTGGTGTGTGGACATGTTTGAGAGAAGGCACTGTGCTGTAGGTGACTTTTCTGTTATAGTGTAACTGTTATTACATATGTTGAGGAGACCAAGGACATTATAATCATAAATGTCCTTCAGGTGACCAACATTAGTAGTTATGATAGATAACCCTGACTGTTGTGTTTGTTTCTTTAGGAATGGCGACCCAGGTGGGGTTATAAGAGAGCCAATGACGACACAAAAGACTGGGTCATTGAAGTTCCTGGTAATGCAGGTGAGAAGCTGGTTATCATGTACCACTGAACCCAATGGGTAGATTTGTTTTGAGACATCCCTGTATGGACTTTTGCTTGTTGGGTCTGTGTGTTGATTGGTTTTATTTGAAGTACATGTAATTGCTTGTAGTTGATGTTTCACTTTATTTTTGCAGACCCAAATGAGGACCAGTTTGAGAAGAGAATGAAGGCCAAGAAGGAGCGGATAGCCAAGAACGAGCTGCAGCGTCTCCGCAACATTGCCAGGGCAACCAAGTCTAAAGGTGTGACAACTTCTTCATAGTAACAGTCCATATATCTTGTAATTGTATATCTTGTATGAATGAATGAATGAATGAATGAATGAAACTTTATTTTCGTGTCGTGCGCATACCACGCCCAGCCCGTGTGGGCTTATACGACACCGTTTGAGAATAAATAATACATAAACAACAGAGAAACAGAGGTACAGAATCCAAACAAAATGTGAACACAAATAAAGTTAGGCTATATACAATTAAGCAGAACAGAGTGAACTCATAACAGATCATAAATGCAAATAAACAAATCTGTACATAAACTTGATAAAGAACCAAGATTTCACAAAATAAATACAAGTACATAAGGTAAATCAAATATAAATAAGAGAAAACAAATGTGTAGAAGTAACAAAAGGTGAGAACTGTTGATGTGTTATGAATACAGGTATTTTCTTCTTTTCCCCCACGCTCGATAAATGAAAGTTGCTAGGTCAGATACACCCTCGTTAAAGAGCCACTTAATTCTATTTTCATCTCTTTCCCATATGATGTCAGGTGATTTTGTATAAATTTTACGAAACATATTTTCTCGAAGATCGTCATAAAAGGGACAGTAAAAAAGAAAATGTGTTTCGTTTTCTACTTCATCCAAGTCACACATGGTACACATTCTACTTTCCTCAGGAATTCCCTGGTACCGTCCAGTTTCAATATTGATAGGTAAAATACCAGCTCGCAGCTGCGCACACAATGATCTTTGGCGTTTGGGGAGACACATAGTTACATATTTTTCTATACAGTAAGTATCTTTAAACAGAGCATATGTTCTAAGTTTAGGTTTCAAAAGTACTTTGGTTGCCCAGTCTTGCTTGTATAAGTCAAAAAAGCTTCCCTTTAATTTGCCTAATGTCACCCCTCAATGTGTTAAGATAAACATGTTCTTGCTCAACTTTACAGAATATATCCTGGACATTTCTACTCCAGGGGCCATGGTTTTGAAAGTCCCATAAGAATACTTGTTTTGTAATTCTATCATTTGACATATTGATAAGTCTATTCCATAAAGCGATTACAGACCCCTGCTGTCTTATTTCACAGGGCGCCCAGCCCATGTCCCCTGCTGTAGCAAGAACAGGTGCAAATCTGTGCACCCCTAAAAAGCACCTAATTGCTCTGTTCTGCACCACTGAACACTTCTCAGTTCTCTCTTGTAATTGCACCCCAACTTATTACTCTTGAATACTAAGTACTGTGGAGTTGTACGGTGTTCTGAAGCATCCCTTCATTTCCCCCTGCAGTTCCAGGAGTTGGACTCACTCCCACTGAGAAACCTTCCAAGGAAGAGGTAGGAGTAAAACATTGTTCACTCCAAAGTTAACTTTTTGCTCGTCTATATTTTTCATGTTGCATCAGATTTCGTTTTAGTAGATGACTGAAGTTGTTTTCCTACAGGTTGGATTGGCCCTCCATCTAGCCAAGAAGTCTACTGCATCACTAGGGAAGTTTACAGAGAAACTGGTGGGTAGTATTACAACTCTGGAAATTTTCTGTACATTTTGAAATACATGAAGATGTAACTATGTGAAGCAATTTATCTGTCAACCAAGGCTTTACAGGTGATTTAAAGTATGGTTTATTTGTGTTTGCATTAAACTTTTCAGTACCAACCAACCTTGTTCAATAGAAGTGAAGTAAAGAGGGACATGAGGGATATAGATCTCTCTTTTTGTCATAATCAAATAATTTCAAGCTATTTGCAATATGCAATGTAGTAATGACATATTCAACTTGATGTTGAGAGAAGAAGTTTCTGTAGAATTTATTTGTGTGAAGATTCACTGAAATTAACATTCTCTGTTTACAGCCTAAAGAGAAAGAAGCAAAACACGTAGGGAAGAAGAGAAAGGTAAGACATACAAGAATCAATGGTGTCCTGTACTACAAGTACTTATAGGAAAATGATACTAGTAGTTATTCAGTGTGCATGTACATTTCTACACATACTGAAATCCTTTAAAGTGATCCATTCATATTAATATTTTGTACAAAGCTTCTTAGTATGTTTCTCCTGCAGTTTTCTAATTAAGATTGTTATAATCAACCACTACCTTGAGGCTATTCCAGAAAAATATTGGGGGAGGGGTACAAAAAATGGGTTTGGCCATTGAAGGCACACAACTACATGTATATACAAAGTTGAAAATATAGGTGGTGGTGTAGCCTTTTCCTCTAAACATATTCATTGATACTTCTTACTTCTGTGTTTTGCACAGTGTATCTTACCACCTTTATATAAAATGATGCTAGGGCACTACTAGCACACTTTTTCTATTTCAGTCACTTCTATAGGGCGATTCTATCATAATCATAGACACTGTAACTGTTAAAAACATGTAACATTTTGTAAGTTGATTTGTCTATTGAATGGTACATCTTCTCTACTGAATACTATACAATCATTCTGCTTCAAACGGTATTTCTGCTTGCCTGCTTGACTACAATTTGAGAATCCATAAATCAAGAAAGGCCTGCTACATTATTTTCAATGAGACTAAATCTTGCTAAATCACGCGACATTCACTAGCACTTATGCCATATGATATAGCAAGGAACAATGTTTTGACTGGATTGAGTCTTCACATCCCTCTCTTACAGTTTTTCTTCTTTTCTTTTTGAAAGTTTTTTTTTCAGATTTCAGATAACATGATCAACAAATAAAGTTTAACAATGGATTGGGCCTGTCTCAAGGAACAATCCACCTGTTTGCTTGAGGAAATATATTTCACCTACTGAAGAAAAAAGCTAAAAATAGGTTGAATAACATTTCAGACTTAAGAGAGTTTGAAATTCAGATTTCAGATAAAAAATTTTATAGCATTACCATTGGTCAAATCAAAAAAAGGCTAGGGTCGGCGGGTTTTTGTTAGGGTCGGTGGGGAAAACGGAAACACAACAATTTTTTTCGTAGGCCTGACTGGTAAAATCCTCATTTCAATAAATCTGAATGGGAAGGAAGCATTGTAGCCATATTGAGACTTCCATGCTGCTTTCCATGTTTTCCACCATGTGGTCTTGTCACACACCTCACCCATGTTATGGTATTGTTGTATGCCGTTCAGATGCAACAAACTCAACCAGTCAGACCACCAGCCCCCTGGGCAAAGATCTAGACCTGTGCTGCTATTCTTGCCAGCAATTCTGTCCTTTGTTTGGAATGACTTGCCGCTGTATTCTCCCATAACATCACCTGTGTTACCTTGGTACTCACCTAGCCACAGTGTGTAGTTGTCAGATTCACCGTCAAGGGCAAAGTAGTCATAGTCGGCACGTCTCATGATCCCATCTGAGTCCTCCATCAGGATTTGGAGCTTGTAGCACTTGGTCTTCGTCATCTGATGGATGAATTCGTTTCCAAGCCAGTAGTTGCTCCCCGCGATGCCGAACCCCCTCCTGTAGGCTTTCCAGTCGCGGCAGAATGCTTGGTTGCTTTTAGAGTGGTGCTGGATGATGGTCCAGGCCATGTTGTTGTCAACTCCACAGGACAGGACAGATGAAAACTGGTTGTCTCGGTTTTCAGGAAGGCCGTAGACTCCACTTTTCTCAGTCCACCCCTTTTTGAACAGATCATCGCAGTCCACAAGTTCATGCTCTGTAAGCAACATGAATAAATTTCCCTGTGAGCTGCCAGCAAGTACATTTTACTACTGACAAACTGTATGTCAACTTTCCATCTGATACCATCCAGGATACCATCTGAAGGAAATATCTGATTAAGCACTGTGCTTGAAGGAATTTGTATGAAGGAATTTTTCCCATCCCATCTGCATTTGTGCTGGCAGTACACTGACCCAGAAAGAATAGTTGGGGAAGCTATTGTTCTCAGTCTCAAATTCTGAGAAGCAAATTCCTAAAATTTGAAAAGTTTAGATTGTTTGAACTTGCATGAAGAGGTACATCAACAGTGTAACCTTACCTTGTGGTGGGGGTGTGGTAAACGGGCAGGTCCTGATTGGTCTGGGTGTTGTATTGTTGTTGGTTTGCAGTGCATCGTGGGGTGGCGGGATGCAAGGTCGCCTGGTTCGTTTTGCAGGTTTGATGATCTGCTGAGGTTTGTAGCTGGGCTGATGTGATCTGATTGGTTCAGGTTTGTGGTCAGTTGGTCTCACGTGTTGGATCTTTGCCACGTGATGCGGCTGTTGTCCACCGTTACGGAGCGGGGTGGTGGGGGGACGGGGAGGTGGAGGTTTGGCTGCTGGCAGGGGAGCAGACGTGGTAGGGAGAGCTGGCTCAGCTGTCTTTGTGTCTTCTGTCTTCTCCGATTCTGGTGCCTCCATTTTGGTCAAGATGTATTGGAGGAGTGTATTCATGGTGCCCTCGTCTTTGGACTGACAGGAGAAAGTTGACAATAAGTATTTTTGTGGGTTGAATTTATGTTTAATTGATTTTTTTTATGTTTTTGATATACATGTAAGGTATTTTGTATGGGATAAAATGTCATAATTAATATTTTGATAGTTGTAGGATATCCTTTTTCATGTCATACATACATGGATACATACGTGTCATGATGTGCAAATACGTTGTACTTACTTACAACTCACTATCCGGTTTATCGTCTTTTGTTCCCCTCTTCCGAGGATTAGACATGCTTGTAAACTGATACTGGGGCTTGATGGCAACCGGCCATATAATAAGGTGTATAAAACTTCAAAGAGGGATTGAAAGGACTTTTAATCTCAACATAATTGGCAGCTTTCACTCACCCTGCTGCCCAACATCTGTTGTAGGTGGGAGACCATGTATGGATACACTAGAGCTATCACCAGGGCAGAGATGACAAGACCCAGGACCATCCCCACACATAGCTTACTGGTCCTGCTGATGTGGCCTGGACATGCACAAACACAAAATACATAGAGAATGTACACTGTGTAGCCTTGACTGGAAAACTAGACTTTTTTTTTATATACACCATGTTACAAACTGTCACCTGGGCAGAGACAGCGAGGTTCAACATAGCTCCAATACACATGCACATGTACATGTAATATATAACTTACCAGTACTACAAATTGGACCAAAACATGCACAAACATACAGAATGCAAGGACTAAACACATATTAAATATCTATCTCCAGGGGAAAGGTGTAAATTGTGACAAAATTATGTATATCCCAGTAAAATAGAAATGCCATAAAATTGTGGCCAACAAAGCAAGAATATAGAATATACAGCATGGGAGTGTTGTATATACTCTGTATACAGCCAATGCCATTTTAAAACCAAGGAACTAAAAGTAATACATGTGTATTTTGAAATTCAGATATTGTGCCCTTCATGACTATGTGCACAACAGTTATGGAACAGCAAGAAAATTTCAGCAAGCTTCTTTTTAACATTTTTCAAGCTTCACATGAACAGGATGCATGCTCAAATTTTAGCAAAAAGTGCTACCATTATATTCTGTCAGATATTTTACTGCAAGATGTTACCTTTCGCTGTGCATTTCTTGTTCAATGTACCTCTCTCCATCTCTGCTGGCTGGTTGCTGGGATTAGGTGTACCGCCAGTATATTGGGTACCTTGTGGCAGGGTTTGAGGCATCTCTTCTGAGCTGTTCTCATACACATGGTGAGCTGTATGGGCATGTGAACGTGGAGTAGCAACTGTCTTTGCTTCATCATAGTGACTTTCTGCCCTTTTGTGGCAGCCGCTTGTCATCCTGGCCATGCCTTGTCTCCTGGTTGGAGCCATCTCCATCGGGCCATTATAATCTTCCTGGTCGTCTGTAGACGTGCATGTGTGTAGACCTGTGATGGTGACGGTTTCAGCCTCCTTGTAACAACTTCCTGACATCACATGAGTTTGTCCTCCTTTATCGGTCTGTCTGCAGCTGTCTGTTGTTGTTTGGGACAAACGGACGGACTCTGGCGCGTCATACAAATGACTTGACATCGTGTGGTGACAGAATTTTGTTGCAGTGAGGTTGCTTGTCTGGACTCCCGTTTAAATGCATGAAATGACATTTAGTGTATTCAGAGATCAAACCTTTATTGTCTGAATTCTCAAGGTGTTTGTTAGAACGTTGCACAAACAGAAATCAAACAATATAATTAAGAGGTCTCTTTTGGTAAAAGACCAAAGCAGCAATTTAAAAGACCAAAGAAGCAATTTGAAAGACCAAAGAAGCAATTTGTAGGTGTTTACTGTAGACTTTCAGATTGGTCTGGGTCACTGAAGGACACACGTGTGGGCAGTTTTCTTATCATAGCATGTTCTTGTAGGAAGAACTGTTTAAAAAGACTTATAGTCACCATCTACTTTGGAGAGATACAGAAAGTAAAGGCAATGCCACTTAATGCAAAATGTATACATGTTCAAAATGTATACATATAATTGTAAGGTTTATTTTTGAAGTTACAAGTACTGGTCAACAATGCTGATTCTTTGCCTTTTTGCTAAAGTAGTAAAGGGTTACACATGAAGATGTGCCAAGCAAAATATGTTGCTCTCTGTCTCTGACAGCATCAAGTAATAATGTACTAGTACTTTCATTGGTTTCTCTGCCAGGTAAGGTTTTAAGTATTCAGGTAGACAAGTGATGCTACTTATTCTGCTTAGCACTAAGTTGTTGTTTCTGCCATAAATCTGTTATTTCAGTCAGATCAAGGACACAATGTCATGTATAATGTCCTTGGTTGGGGTCAGCATTAATAGTAAAATTTCATCCAACTTGTGTGAAGATTAGGTTTTTGTCTGAGGCCCATGAAAATGGTCTGTTGCTTGCTTGTTGAATTTCCTGTCTGAAGCGACACTTTTTCTCTATTCTGGTCAGTTTGAACCAGCCATCGGTGACTTCAAGAAAGAGAAGGAGCAACAGCTGAACATCATCAATGTCATGGAGAACAAGAAGCCTAAACTGGACATCACAAAGGTAAAACAAATCCAGTAAGGCTTGAAGTTTGGGTACTGTAAGAAAGCTTGCAAGTCGCTATTCTATCACTGATGTAAATGTCTCAGTGTAAAGCAATGTAGAGTTGGAATAGGTTGTTGTTGACCACAGTGAGACTCTGTGTAACTTGAACTTCAATATTGACACATTCTGTTCCTTCCAGGCCGTGAACAGGGTGATAATCCAGCAAGACCAAGAGTAAGTTTGCTGAGTAATTTTTTGTCTATGCTCTCAGGAGAATGGAATGTGTATAAAAATCGTGATCAAGTCATTTTCACCAAATGAATTACATAGTTTGCCCTCAGCACATGCTGCCTTAATTCACTGTCATATGCCCTGACACTTGGAGATATGGAGAGCGTTTTTAGCCAAATAGTATGCAAAAACCAGTATTTCTTGAAAAGGTTGACTTTTGTTGTAAAATTGTATCAAGCTTGCCTTGGGTGCTACTTTAAACTGAGTAAGGCAGTAACCAGACTAAAAACACCAGTATAAGACTTTTTTCAGAAGTCCATGTACAGTGTATTAGGAAACTGATCTTTTGTCTGTTTAATCTTCAGTGCTTCAGACGAGAGGAGAAAACGAGGTGGCAAAGTGAAGAACAGGCGGGGACCTCCTCGGAAAAAGGGAGCCGGTGGTTTTGGGAAAAAGGGCAAAGCTGGAAAAGGGAAGGGGCAGAAAGGAATGGGAGGAAAGGGAAAAGGAAAGATGGGTAAGGGCAAAGGGAAGGGAAAGGGCAGATAGTGAAAAGTTTATACAGTTTATAGGTCATAGACTTTTCTTTCAAGTAAGATCCAATTGAATCACAAATATTTGTTTTTATTTTCTACCGTACATACTTTCACAGAATATGTCAATCACAAATGCATGAATAGAGAGTTCTATTTTGTATTCATTATTGCTTCACAATGTAACTGACACTGAGAGAGAAGTATTTTTGATCTGATTATAAATAGATCTAGATATCATTGGCACAAGTGTCACGCCACATATACATGTACTCAATAAGTAAGTTCTAGTTTAGACATGATTTGTACCCTGGAATAATCAAGTATCAATATAATGTCCTTGACATAACATTAACAGTCATGGTTGCATCCAGCTTTTGTCATCCCCGAGCCTACATATTCGGTTCCCTTCCAAATTGTTACAGAACAAGTTTAGAACTTTTAGTTGCCAGTTGTGTCAGATGGTTCCTGGGGGGAAAAAGAGGAAACTTAGTTAAGTAAGTACAAAGGAATTTATCATTATGGATCACTACTTTATCCTATGGTTACTGACCTACTAAATTTCAAATAAAAAACATCAGACATGTAAACATGGAGTTTGTTGTTTCCATAAGTCTTCATCATCTTAAGTACTGCTGAGCCCAATTTACATTGGATTACTAGCAGCTGCACATGTTGTTAATTACAAAAGAAGTGCCCGGTACAAGTAAAAACAAGGGTAACTAAAGGAGGGGACACTACGGAACGTAAATAACTGAGTCTGTTGGTGTAAAGGACAAGACAGTGCATTTAGTGTGTTAGTAGGACATATATATATACATATATACAAGACGTGTAGGGGCGACTCAATGCAGCAGGGTCCTCGCCAGTCCAGATTTGAACTGGGCGAGGGACCCGCCTCCGCCACACAAGTCTTGTGAAAGTTGCAGAAGGAACAGTTTCGTGCACTTAATGTCTAAAGTGAACACTCAGGTCAGTTGTGCTTACCTGGATTTCTGGAAAGAATTCCAGTATTGCAAGGTCAAGTAACACATACCCCAGCTGAAACAGAACAGGCACAAAATCAGGCAATAGTCACAAAACTCTCCAAAAGGAAAACATAATTTGCAACTACTGGCAAGTGATTTTAGCTATCTGGATTCTGGAGTAACAAAATCTTCAAAGAACATTACAGTGCTACAGTAGGTTAAAGATGTATGTGGCTTTGCAAGAAATATAACTACAAACATGTGGTTTGGGAATAGTAGGCCTTGTAGTACCTGCTTATTCAGTCTGGGCTTCTGAAGGGCATCAAATATGGTCTTGGTCCCAATGTGCTGCCTCTCAGCTCCAATCACCATCACGAACAATTCTGTGTAGGGTGAAGTGTAAACAGTTAATTTTTGCCAAATTTACAGTAGTATAACCTTGGATTATGTAGAAAAATTAACCATTTGAAACATAACAGGTTAGCTCTGTCCATTATTGGGGATCCTCCTCATAAGGAAACTCACTTGGCAAGAAAGCTTTCATCTCCTTCAGTGTCTCCTCAGCCCGGACTCTTTTGTCTTCATCAGTTCTGTGTAAGGGAAGCAAAGATTTTGAGACTTTATTCAAATTACCATCAGCGGTGGCCCCTTGGGCCCACATATATGTACAATACTAGTACTCAACACAGTTACATGTATTACATAATGCCAAAATAAATGCCAATGAAAGATGCATAAATGAAATACTGTTACAGAATAGCCCTAAATTGATTTCCCATATGCTGCTGAAATAAGTAAGCATGATTCTCAACTAGATGCGGAGAAGGGAAGCACCTTACCTGGGAGGGTCGTTGTCAAAGAACAGCACATCTGAAAAGTGATGGAGGCAACAATTACAGAAACACTGCTGTAGCATACTCTAGTTGATCACTTGAGATGTATTTCAGTAGGATGTTATGCTTGTGTAGTTTGGACAGTTTCCTTACATCGGTGTGCAGTATGTTATACACAAAGCATCTGCCCATCATATATTAAGAAATGGAAAGGTAGCACAAACTTAACTGGAGATTCATATTAAACCTTGATCCAAACCTGACCCATCTCTTTATGATCAACAAGTCCATTCATCATTAAATACAAAATGTACATGTAACACTGTAGCAGTATCTTACTCTGTAGTAAGACTCACCCCGGAGTAAGTGGATGAGTCCCACCACCTGGTGCTCCTGTTTCACCTGCTCTATCTTGCCTGCAAGATAGCTGCACAGGACGGGACCAATGGAAAATATGAATAATTTCATCAATCACAGCATGATGGCATGGTGTAAGGCAAAGGTGCATTACTTCTCTCTATGATCTGGCTAACATCTTCACATTATCACCTATCAGTCTCTTAGCAAGGGTAACTATTGCTGCAAACTTAAATTTCATTCAGGCTATTGTTTGTCCTACAGTAATACACACATACAGTAATACAGATTTTAGCCCCTTCACAAGGATACGCTACCTAATTTTACACAGATGACAGCAATAACTACAGAAAGGAATCACAGTTCTCACCTGTCCAGGTAACCCTCTAGTGCATGTTTACCGACGATTCGGGCTGACATGGCAACATGATGGAACCACGTTGGGACCTTGTACACAGTTCGTGCTGCGGAAAAAATAGTGTGAAAAGCAGAATGTTAATGATGGCCTCCTATGCTACTAATGTCTTATAAACAATAACATCTGTGTGAGACTCTCCTGTGTGAAACTTTTGAACACTTTCAGATGGAAATATGAAACATCTACTACCCGCAACATGAAGAAACAGAACAATACCTACTCTAAGTTGGTTGTTTCTAGTACATTGTGCTAATAAAACTGACCTATGTACAGGAGGAAGTCTGCAGCCCCCTGCAGGCCCCTGACCTGCAGCCCGGCTGGCTCTGTGTTGTGGATGCTGACCAAACCAGCAGCATTGTTCCCATAGATCGGGTAGGAGATCTGCACACAGTGATGTAAGAATACTGACTTACTAGTATTTCTAAGCAGGACTTGTGGAAATGCAGTTTACCTATAACTTCTAAAGATGTATCTCTATAACCAGTGCTGTAGTAATAGAAATTAAACTTACATGAATGTTTACTGTTCAGTCAAGCGCCACTTTCAAATAAAAATCTTAAATTTTTTTTTTCAAATTAATGATTATTCAAATACAGAATGACTACAATACCTTCCTCTCCATTTTGTCCTTGGGACTTTCTTCAATTACATCTGGTTTGCTGCAAGAGAGGAAATGTAAGGAGAACATATTACCAATGTGCTGATCAGAAGCAGAAAATGTGTTTGCTTCCTAGTAAATGCACAACAAAGTACAGCCTGGTAGGTTTGTTACATTCCCTGCACCGAATTCACGAGTTCATGTAGACCATACCTCTGCCGTGGCTTGGTTGTCTCTGTGGAAGCCAGGAAAGCCTGTAGAAAAGGTTCCAGGTGCTGTCCTTTCTGTGAGAAAAAGTTCAGGTTGTCAGAAGACAGTTTTGTTACAAGGACTAAGATATTTGTGAAAGAGTACAAGAAAATATGCACACTTTTGTTTCCCTATATATGCAACATATTGGCATGAAAAAGTTTGGAAAGTCAGTTTCTATACAGATGTAAGCTCACTTACCTCCTTAACAAGTTTGTTTGGAACTGACTTCAACATTTTACCTGTATCAAAAGGAACAGAACACTGATTACCAGTACTGCGAAGCATCAAAATTCAATTACATGTACATGTTGTTTTGTTTTGTTTTGTTTTGTTTTAGATTGTTAAAATCTATTCCGGGTAATATAGAAATGGATGCAGATAAATTGGTAAGCTAAATTAACATTTCCAAATCTGTAACATTTCTAGACATAAGAACATAGGCATAAGAACAAGAACAGATACAATATATATTTATAGTTCATGATTTCAGGAATGTCAAGGTGTGAATCAGTGTGTGATGTTGGCCTTGATTTAATGACTAAGAGTTTGTACCAATGTTGACATCTGGGAGCAGCCTGGTCTCGAACTCTGGCCCTGGTGACAGGAAACTGTGCAGCAGCTCACTGCCTCTCAGTGCTGGCTTGGTCAGCAACATCTACACAACACACAGGCAAGGTCACATAAGACAGCACTACTTCTCATGTGTAGACCAATGGTAAACATGTTACCTGGATAGGACCTGTATATTCCTTGTTTTTTCATTCATTCCTTCTTTTTCTTTATCCTTTTAATCCTCTATATCTGACATGTATGAGTCACATACAATGACCTTAATATTTCTGAGAAGGTTAGCATATTATAAATAAGACATTTTGATATTACATCAAACTCTTGACTGTATTCATTTCTGCTGATTGTCTGAGAATCATAATCAAATTGTGAAGTCTTGTGAATATTCAGAGATTACGCCCATTCAATAATGTGCTGATCAGATCAAGACAATTTCTATCCACAGTTCCTAGAAACAGGCTGGGGTCTTTCAAGTTTCCAATAACTCTGTACATTATGAGTATAGAACCTATGTTACAATTCAATCATGATATTACTGTTTGACTTGCCCTGTCCTGAGCATGCATGGGTACTCTTGCCACTCTTGACATATCAAATCTTGACATAATTTGTAAAGCAATAATTAAGTGCATGGTCTATTTTGCAATACCTGCAACCACTTTTCGAAGATGGCTATTTTGG